ATTCAGTCCTCTCAGGTTCAAGGCTGTGGCTTCTGTTATGGATTCAATCTATCTCATATTTCTTCTTTCCTTTTGTCTTCTGCCTTCGACATTCCCTAACATGATTGTCTTCTCCAGTGAGTCTTGCCTTCTCATGAGGTGTACTACTTATACTAGTACTTCTGTCTATATGTCTGAATATAGCACAAAAGACCATCTAGAACTCTTCCCCTATCAGCTAATTTATTAGTCTTTGTCTTGGAATATAGCTAAATTAAAAGTTAAATTTTAGCTAGCCAGACAGAGCTGGATTTGAATTCAAATTTTACCTCCTCTTCCCTAATCCTTTTCTCAGTAACAGTGTCAAGGACACTGTGCCTTAACATTTCTTTTATGCAAGGCCTTCTAAGGAAGAAAATAATTAGTTTTTGCACAACATTTTAATATATGCTCTGCTGTTCTTCAATGAAATTTGCTGAAGTTGTATTGTGCCTATTACTATTGTTTTATCTTTGATCCTAACTAGTGTTCCACTGATGGCATAATCAGCTTCACCCATGGGAAAATCCCAGTAACAGGACTGCAGGGAAAGGCAAATTTCACAGGGGTCTCCTTCCAGACTACAGCTCCTTGAACACCTAACAATCTGCTCTTGAAGTTTCAGGGAGCTTCTGCAACCATGCAGTGTTAGTACAGAGGTCTGCAAAGGGAAGTAAAAATAATGTCTCATTCTACTTCCTTGGAATCTAACATGCACAATTTATAATTTCTTTCTGTTTCAACATAAACTTAATGCTTAAATAAAGCTAGCATAATAAACAATCTGCTTTAAACCACTATACATGGAGATAAGTTTCATCATGTCTTTTTCAAAGCATGCAGATTGTAGATTCAGGGAAACTTACACCAAAATAGTAAGTTTTATATTTGTGTTCTGTGATCACAGCTGTCTGAGACCCTAATGTTACATAACTGCAAAGCTTGAAGCTGTTCTGGGAAGTCAGCAAATCTCCTAAAGGAAGTCACAACAACCGTGTGTACTAATAAATAATTTCTGAGTTTTATTCATGGTACTATTTCTGACTATAACTTCTGAAGGAAAAAAAGGACCTAACAGTTCATGTTAAGCTTAATTTCTAAGGGTCTTGGGGAGGTGGTTAAATGAAGCTGGAATGTTAGAATAGGTCCTTGAGGAGATGGATTAACAGACAGAGAGATGATGAGGCTGTCAGAAGGTACATGACAAATTCATTTATCACATGGATCAGCAATTTATCACATGCATATATGTATGATTACAGAGATATGCACATGACCTGATTTTGTATTACTTTTATCTTCACTCATAACTAAAAGCAGAATAATTCACCTTGGTTGATGTTGGTATAGAATATGCCTTGCAACCTTTAAGATATGATACAGCAGAACAGCTCTCTCTCTCTCTCTCTCTCTCTCTCTCTCTCTCTCTCTCTCTCTCTCTCTCTCTCTCTCACACACACACACACACACACACACACACACACACACACACTTGTGTGCAAGTGCACACGCACACACTTTGTTCTGTAGCAGTAGACTATGAGGGAGAAAGGTGCAGTCAGGTAATGTACTCTGCACCTAGAAGTTAGAAAGTTAATATGGAACATTCTGTGGTTATCATAAAGTAAAAAAAAAGCAACTGCAGAAAATGTTGCTTTAAGGACTTTGTGCATAACAAATCTGGGAGTGACTGACTGCACACATCTACATAACAACACACACATGTTATATGAGAGAGATGATGCACGTTGGTGCTTGGTCTGGCTTCATTCAACCTAAATTCCAGTCCCGATCTAGGATTTTATTTCTTTTTTGGTTCCTTGCATTTATTTAAGAAGACTTAGAGCCAAGTATAACACTTCAACATTGCCACACTGTATGTATATTTTGTACTTGGATGCACCCATCCCCTCAAGTTTTAATATAGTCTGGCTGAAAAAAGAAAGCTAGAAATGTTCAAGAAAGAATTAGAAAATCAATTTTGTTATAAACGTAAGAAGCTTATCATTTTCAGACATTCTGAGCTGTATCCAACAGGATCCATCCACTGATATAAATCATGTTGCACTAGAAGAAGCTGTCTCCAGTGCAACACCAATAGCACTTGCTGGAATAACTGGTTTTCTGGGAAAATCCATCATATAAGCTATCACTACTGGTGTTATTCTATCCATTTATGCAAGTGTGATGTATTTAAGGTAGAAGTGGAGCCACATGTAATACCTTAAAGCCATAAGTTACATAGGCATGCATCACAACCATATATAATAACTGGTTTATGTTTAAGCCTCCTCCTATTCATTCCTAAGTATCAAAAAAGAGGAATGCTTCAGCTATAATGGATTAGCTCAGTTCTGTCCCCTTCCCCATTTACTCTTTTTCCACCCCATCTTTGAAATTACACTTTCTGCATTTTTAAAAAAAATATATGGGCTTTACAGAGGTGTGGATCTGAACTGCAGCAATTGTCTTCTACAGCTCAGTATGTCTTCTGTGATTCAAGATCTGAAGTACCAGCAGAGTGAGCTACTTTTATTTGCATTTGTGCTCAAATTCCTGTACCCACTGCTACTCCATATAAATATACAAACCATCTGTGAGCATTGGTCAAGTACTAGATATATTTTTCATTAAAAATTAAAAATATATTAATATTATATATATATAATTTTATTGATATTAAAATATAAGTACTGCAATGTGATGGAAAAGAAGTCAAATTATGAATACTAAAGCAAATAACCTTTGGTCCTAATTTCTGGAGTCTATTGATAAGAAAACAATTGTGTCCTTAAATGAAGACTCTTAGCACCTTCTTCTGTTGATGAGCTTATCAATGCCAACCTGTACTTTCTATTCCTCCTTTCCTTCCTAGTATATCCTGCAATAAAATGAGGTGAGTAAATACTATGGTGAGAGAGCAAGAGGAAGTAACACAGATTTCAGAAGGACTACAGAAGGATACCGTCTCCATTTAGGCTAACACTTAAGAATAGATTTTTAATTTTTGTTGCTGTTGCTAATAAACACTAGTTTACACTAGGCCACAACATAACTGAACATGCTTTTCAGTTTTATTGGTAATACAGCTGTTTTGGAACAATTACAAACTACATAAAAGTTTAATGTGCTGCAGGCTGTTATGCTGATTACATCATGGAAATGGTAAAGTAGGTAATAAAATCCTTTTATTCAGAAATCAAAGTGATGCTAGTTTGTCACATGTGATAACTGTTTGGGACATTATGATAGTGAGGGTTTTTTATTTAGCATTCAAGACTTCCTGGTATAACAGAGAAGAAGTCGACATTCATTATGTTCCTTTTCCTTTTTGTAAGAGAAAACCATTTAGACACACCCTAAATAATACTTTTGTTTTTCTGAGACCATACAGGGAAAGCACTGCTGCTATCAGCTTACATCTTCCCCATGTACCTGACTAAGAAGTCAAAGAGAACCATGATGAAATGTCAACATGTTTAGCATTTGCCTTGTTATCCTAATTAACTGCTGCTTGCAGGAAGCTGAAAGGGCCTTGATATGGTGACATCACGTTGCATGGTAATAAGAACCATGACTGGGTGCATGAAGGAAAGCAGTTCAGGGGAACATCAGTAGAGCACTGAAACACAGAACAGCCATTTTTAAATCATTAGTAGTCAAAATTGCACCTCTTAGAACAAAAAGGGTATTTTCTATTTTGCAAGCTCTTGTTCAAATCTTCAGGTTGCTTTTTACATTACATTTGGCTATTGAGAAGTATACTAGGATTATGTCTATCTCAGTTTAAATGTTGAACCTGCAATTCCCCTAGTACTGCATTCACAGATGCACCTTTTAAGAAATGTTGGATGTTCTTCTGCAGCTAACAGCACTTCAGACATACACAGAAGGAGGCTATGATTGAATGTATGATTCTACAAATAGTTGCCATAAGAATTATGTTTCAACAATACTATGTTGTGGTGGATTCGCCTTAAGAAGGAGAAGTCAAATTAACTCTCCATTCCAGGGTGCAAGAAAAATTTAGTTTGACCTCATTGGTGGTGGTATGGCGTTTAGGGTTGGGATGAATCCTGTCAGAATCCACCCCCCTAGCACCCATGTACTTGCTGTCATGCTCAAGCCCAGTCCTACAAAGTTATGTGAGGCAAGAAGAAGGCTGTGAACATTTCTGAACTCCTGGCTGCACAACTGGCAATCAGGTGCAGCTGCCCAGAGTGGCTGCAGAACGCAAAAGAGGGGTGCTGCAAACAGTAGCACTGGGCACCATTCCTGGCAGCCTACTGTCTTCCCTTCCCAAAACAACTGGCAGTGACAGAGCCAGATGCAGAAGAGAAGCACAGTAGGTGGCATGCCAAGCACCATTCCTAGCAACCAAAGTTCTTTCCCAGTTGAGGCAGGCAGGCAGCCAGCAGCAGCAGCTGTGAGGGACACAGGAGAGGGGTGCTGAGTGAGCAGTGCATGTGAATTGATTCCTGGTGAGCACCCTGTGAACACTGAGCACAATTGCCAGGAACCTGGACTCAAAGTGGACTGGAGTTGGGGAAATGAGCCCAGGGCATCTGATGGCTTTCCAGCCCCAAACAGATTCCCTGCATACCCCCAGTTGTGTTTTATACATAACATGCCCAACAGTAACTCATGTAACACATCAGGATTTTGCAATGCAAATCATGTACAGAAACTTGAATATATTAAAAGAAAGTACACAGAAACATGCATTTATTGGGGAATATATATGCACATTGTATTAGGGAAAAATCACTTGCAAAAAGTGCGTAAACTATGAAAGGTGCATATGAAAATGCATGTATTTGGAGACATGCAGACATAAGCAGGCACAAAGTTTTGTGATGCCTTTTTTATGAAGCCATAAATGATGCTGCAACAAGCTGAAACAAAGTTATGGCCTTGAAAAAGTTCATATAAGGAGAGATTCCTTTGTGAAATTCTATTGTTCCACAAGCTAACAAACTTACCTCTCTCATTACAGGATCTGTTATAGAATTGAGATCGACAGCTCCTTCATAGGTCAAATAGAAGAATACATTCAGAGATCTGACAGCTTCAGGCCCTTGCTGTTTGTAGCCAAAAATCAGATCAATCCACTGGTGAAGCTGACAGGAAACAAATTCACTCTCCAGGGCCTGCAACAGAACACAAAGCCATTTATGTGGGTCCAAATATTTATTCCTAATATTTTCTTGAATCTTTACAAAATAACATAGGTGCATTAAAAGTAATTAGCAATTTCTAAATGTAGATTGTCAGTTGGACAAAATTTAATTCACTAAACTATTACACAGAAATCTGTCAAAGGGTTTGTGTGTGTTACAATGAAAAGGACCAAAACAAGGGAGTTTCACGTATCTGCTGATTCTGCAATCTGTTCTTTGCTTTGAATGGGGCCCATGGATCTTCTGCAAGTGATTATAAGCAACCCAGCATTACTTTGGCTAGCATCATATACTCTGTATTATTCACTCTTTATGGAATTAATAGCCTGCAAGTCAAAGGTAAACACTCTGGCTCTTGGTCATGTGCATTTAACTCAAGTTTAATAATAAATGTTGCACCTCTATCATTAATGGCTTTGCCATTAAACACATGCAAGAATCAGCCTTGTACCTTTGTCTTCACCGTTTCTTGGAATAAAATTTCTGCTCTTATAAATGTAAGTAAGTAAACATATTTCTACTGAGTAGCATACATGAGACAATTCGATTGCCTTTTCCTCCAGTCTTTTACCAACTGCAGTTATTTTCACATGCTCTATAAAGGGAAAAATTGTAAGGGTGGGTGTTGCAATTGAAGGGAAATGATGATGACACACATTCTCTCCCTAAAACTTATTCTCAAAAGACCTGAAAGAGAAGGGGGGGGGCACTGAATATACTGCCTTGAATATTTTCCAGAGGAGCTATATCACTTATGAATTGTATTATCTAATTCAATGGGCCAGCCCTCTTCTTGCAAGCAAGTTGCTGCAAAACTGCACCCTATAACAAGATTAACATTTTTCATTAGCACTAATTAGCTTTATCTGGTTTGTAAGCCATCTTGAGATCTGTTTTGGATAAAGATGGTATAGAAATGGTTAAAACAAATAAATTTGTGCACAAACCCAACATAAGAACACAAGGATGCCACATTGGATCAGACCAATGATGAAGCTAGTGCAACACTCTGTTCAGAGTAGCCAATCAGCTATCTACACAATCCCACAAGCAGAATGTGAGTGCAACAGTACCCTCCTGCTCATGTTCCGCAGCAACCAGTGTACACATGCAGACTGTCTCTGTTACTAGAGGTAGCATGTAGCCAGGACTAAAGCCATTTATAGTCTTATCTTCCAGGAATCTGTCCAAGCCCCCTTTAAATCATCCACATTGAAGGCATTCACTACATCTCATGGAAGTGAATTATTTTATTTAACTATGACTTTTGTGAAGTATTTCTTTTATCTATCCTGTCTGCCCCACCAATCAGCTTCATAGGATGACATAGGTTTCTAGTATTATGGTGGAAAGCAAATAAGTCACTCTCTCCATGTTCTCCACACTGTTCATAATTGTGTATACCTCTATCATATCTCCTTTATCTGCCTTTTCCTTTTCATAATCTAAATCATCACAGCTGTTGTAACCTTTCCACACAGAACAGTTGCTCCAACCCCTTGATCATTTCAGTTGCCTTTTCTCAATTCTACAATAGCCTTTTTACGTGCAGCGACAATACATTTTTAGGTGCAGCAATCATATAATTATTAGTGTGATTGCATCACACATTTGTATAAGGGCAATATGACATTGGCAGTTTTATTTTCAGTGACTTTCTCAATTACACTTCAGATAGAGTGTAACTTTTTCATTGCAGCCACATACTGGGTTAACACTTTCATTGAACTGTTCATCACAATCTTCTTAAGTCAGTCACTGCCAGCTCAGATCCCATCAGCTTATATCTGAAGCTGTAGGGGATTTTTAACCAAGGTTCACTTTCACTTGCTCACATTTACTTTACAGGTTTGCTTCTGTGCCAGAACGGCATCTACATACGTCTGTTTCTGCTTGCCATGTTGTGTTTGTTCTCAGATGACCTAATACATTAAAATTTGAATCAACATTTGTACAACTCTTAGCCCAATCCAGAGAGCCGGCCATTTACATATGCATGTACTGTGTGTGCACAGGAAACAATCTGCACTGTCTGAGATATCTCAGGGGTAACATGCGTCACCCATTCTAGTTATATTTTGCAGGCTCAGAAGTTCTGGTTACACTCAGACATGCCCCTCAGTGCCATCCCTGTCACTCAACAATGAGCTAGTTGCCCTGGGCTGCCGATGTGAGTAGATGAGGGGATGGGAATGAGTTGAGTGGAGGACAGTGCAGTATGTGCCACACTGGTTGCCCTAAGTCCTTCCAAGCACTGCTACTTCAGTCTGTTTGGCTTCTGTATATGGTGGATGGGAGAACTTGCTCAGGGAGCAATCTGTCTTCAGGTGGCTCTAATGTTCCACTCACAAGAGGCTCCTCTTCATTTAAAAAGGAGAACACCAGACATACATTTCTTTGTGTACATGGAGCTTCCCATGTGTTGAAATGGACAGAGAGGTCCTTGTGTGAAGGGTCTCTTGGAATAAATGCACAGAATCATTCATTCAGCAAGCACAGCTAGTCTACATCTTAGTTTACGGAAAGATACTCTACAACAATACAATAATAATCAAATAATGTGACAAAGGAAACATTTGTCAGTACTTTTAGTAAACCACCACCCAGCATGTTCTGAGTGGTACAGGGGGGTTGAGTTACCACAGCAATTCAATGCAAGATCTTTGTGCAAAACTGTTTTATTAATATGTTCATTTGTCTTTGGTTTAAGAAGTATACTGAAAAATGCAAAGAAACAGGACATGTTTATAATGTACAGAAATTAAGCATGGTTTTCTTTTCAAGGAAATGCCTAATTTAAACTGCAGAAACCCTGAGATACCACTCCACAGTGTGCATACAGAAATGATTGGTTAGTTTCATTAACTGATGCCTGAAGAAACATTTAAATTGACACATAAAAACAGCAATTGTCTTAATTTGTGTGGTGCACTCCACACAAAAGCCCTAAATATGTTCAAATTAGAGCAAGCTGCTTGATTGTCACTGCAATCTCATGTCATGTTAATGCATGACAAACATTAAACTATACACTTAAATGGCAATTTATATCATTTAAATGTTTACTGCCTGAGCAACTCATCACTCATTTAAATGTGATTTTCTGACAGCTAATTTCAGTTAATTTTCCTCTATTCACTTAATTAGAACTTTCAATCAAGAAAAGGCCTATCCATATCTTCATGTTCATATCATTTTTTCCATTTAGAAGCTCAGTTAGTGAATTGCTACAAACATCTTTTATAATGGATGACTGTGCGGTATGTCAAGTCACTTTTCTCTTCTACGCAGTCACCAAACCAATGACCATATAGGAACATTTTCTAATGCATATTCTATCAGGAAAGCTAAGCTTATTTATGTAAGCAATACTATGGACAGTACTTTAAATAAAAATAAAAATTTTATAAACACACACGCGCACACACACACACAATTAAAAACAAACACAGCCAAGCCAATTAAATATTAATGATTACAAAATTGTTTAATAAGTTAAAAACTGTGAATTCTCATGCAGGTCCCCACAGTACTCCACTTCGGGGCTATAAAATTCCATAAGGCAATCATGTGAATTCATTTTGTTATTGCTTCCTTTCCAGAAACATGTACTAGATATTTAATTCTCTCATATTATTTCATCAAACAGATAAAAAAGATGTGTGAAAAATATGGCGATTTTTTAATATTATTAAAATATACATGGCTCTGCTCTAAAATCTTAACAGGAACACCAACATACATTTAATTCTCCATAAAGCCAACAAGGCCCAGTAACTATTCTAATATTGTTCAGCAGTCATCTCAAATTACACATCATGTATGTTTACCTGAGAGAAACCCCTGCTTGAGCACTCAACAGTTATACAGAAGAGTGTTTCTATTTTTGCTTTCATGTTATAAAGTTAGCATAAAAGGGTTTTAGGCAAAAAATTACTAAGAGTGCAATTCTGTACACATTTATTCAGAAGTGCAACTGAATTTAATTAAAGCCAGTGCCAAGTCATGTGAGTATGAATGTAGGTGCATCATAAGTCTATGAAGCACAGAGAAATAATATTAATAATGAAGTAGGCCATGGATGTTATTTATTTTTGTTAAATCAAAGTAATGTTTACACAGATGATATTTACACACAAGGGCTACTTCTTTCCCATTGTGTAATGTTACGGAATATGATAACCAAGTAACTAAATAGAATAGTGACATTTGATGAGGGGTCTTCAGAAAGTTTCCGCACTTTTTAAACTCTCTATATTAAGAATTTCAGAAACAAATTACATCACTTTTCTACATAGTCACCTTTCTTTGCGATGAATTTTTCCCCAGTGTTGTACCAAATTTTAATGCCATCAGCAAAAAATACATAAAATGTATTTATAAAAAAGATAAAAACTTTTTGAAGACCCCTCGTATTTAGAGCAATTTAAAAAAACATTCTCAGATTCTTTCATTATTCTCATTAACCATTATGCATATGTTAATGAATGAATTACAATAGAAGCAATTATAGAAATGCAAGACAAAGGGCTACTGATGTATCCAGCTAGATACTAGACTTTGCTTTATAAAACTAATTGAATAACTTCTAAGAAGTCTATATTTCTGAGTGTAAAAATTGCAAACATAGCAAATTTCCTCTATAAATCATTAGGCTACTTTAGTTTATTCTTCATGCCCAAAAGACTAAAATTGTCTAGATGTATAAAAAAGGAAAACCAAAGAATCCTAAATATTTAGAATCACTCAAAGCTTCTGAGACAGACAGTGCTCATTAAAGCTACAGTTAAATACGGTGTGCAACAAGGGGATACTGAGCTTCTTCCCCCGGCTGCTCTTAAACCCTGACCAATCAATCGTTAGTGCTCCCACAGTACACGGGATACATCATTTACACCATGTATGTGCTCTGAGAAAATTTTGTAAAAAGGAAAATCCACTAAAATGACCAACACAGTACAATAATATTCAGCTATATTGAGTCATTGTAAAATAA